ACAGCCATACAGAAACACACCACTTTAAATAGTTTTAAAAAGAGTATGTACTGCTACCACTTTGTTTATTGTCGAACGGTGTGGAAATATTTTGCTTTTGCCAATGCAGTTTAATAGCAAGCTGTAACAGGACCACCAGCAAACCCGGCATTGAGAATTTGGTTGTCTGAAGTCAGAGCTTGCATGCATTGGGCTTGTCTACTGGTGATCAGTGTATAGCAGCCTTGACATCAAGACCTCTTAGACTTAAACTAATTGGCAGCGAACAAATAACTTACTGCTCAATTAGGGGGAAACAAGTTCTTTAGTCATCGTCATCATCATCATCATCCTCTTCTTCCTCCTCCTCGTCGTCTTCATCTTCGTCGTCATCATCTTCAACCTTGGGTTTGGATTTGGCAGATGATGCCCCTCCGCTTTTTTCTCCCTTTCTTTTGTAGTCCGCCATATCCTGAGAAAGCAAAATTACGGCATGAGAAATCGAGAATTACTTTGGGGTAGGTAAGATTTAGGCTTTTGAAAGAAGTCTCTTATGCTCGCCACGGCTGCATTTGATCATATACAGTAAAAACAACAATTTAAAACATATATATATAAAAATGTAATGCAAAGCTGGGACTTTCTTACAATAATAATTTAAAAAAAACGTTTAAAGCATTTATTTTTAACAAATCTTTACTACCTTTATCAATTTAATGCATTTTTGCTGAATAAAAATATTAGCGTACACTATCGTTCAAAGGTTTGAAAAACACACACAAAAAAAAACACCTTACACCGCTAAAACCGGTCAAACAGAAATATTAAGCAGCACAACTGCTTTGCTTTAATGTTGATGCGTTCAACAGCAATGTTTGAATTAGCATTAGAATGATTTCTGAAGGATCATGTGACACTGAAAACTGGAATAATGGATGGCTGCTGAAAATTCAGCTTTGCATCAAAGGAATAAAATTACATTTTAAAATGTATGTATAAAACAGATATTTCACATTATTACTGTTTACATAGTCATTCTAGGGCTGTCCATAATAGTCAGAAGAAGTGGCAAAGTCACAGTCTGTGAGGGACGGATCGTTAACAGCAGGTTCTTGTGGTAATTGCAGTACTTTGGGCAGGAAATCCAAACTTTCACCCATCAACCTCAAATATGGTTTATCATATGAAACATGCAAGCAGCAACTTTACTTGGCCGCTCGCTCTAATGTTAAGCAAGTGCTTAAGCGTGTAATAGGCTATACGTTACATTATGTTTTTAAGTAATTAAATAAACGTGCAAGTAGTCGACTAATGGCTTAAATGAACGGCTACTTATCAACTAGAAAAATCTTTAGTCGAGGGCAGGCCCAAGTCATTCATTCTTCAACCACTATTCAAACTGTATAGAGGACAACATTTGAGAGGTCATTCTCCACCTTCTGATACTTGTCCTTCAGTTTGTTGGCCTTGGATAGGAAAGGCTGCTTCTCAGAGTCAGACAGATTGTTCCACATCTCTCCAAGTTTCTTGGCGACATCTCCAATGCCCAGGTTGGGGCTCTGAGCCTTGATACCAGGCCTCTGCTCTGAACAGAACAGGAAAAATCCAGACCTGAAAAAGCAGACAAACATTTATGCAACTGAACCCCAGAGGACCACATTTATAGAGCTCATTTTAAGTAATTCTGGATGGAATAAAGGACAGAAAACATACGCTGGCCGCCTTGGAGCATTTGGATCCTTCTTCTGCTTCTGACCTTTCTTTCCTGGATTGTAGTGCATCATTTCCTGGTCATATCGGACCTTGTCCGTTTTGGCCAGGTCATCAAATTTAGTCTTTTCTTTCGGTGACATAGTCTGCAACAAATGACAGTTCAAGATCCCAGCCTTTTTATTCATTTTGCATTGATTTCAGGAGATAGACACCTAGAGATAGGAATAATCTACTTACTTTCCATCTCTCAGAGCACTTCTTGGAAAATTCAGAGAAGTTAACTGAGACACCAGGGTTCTTCTTGTTGTGCTCTTCACGACACGTCTTCACAAAATATGCATAGGCGGACATCTTGCCCTTGGGCTTCCCTGGTTCACCCTTTGCCATTATTATGAAGTCACTCGAATATCACCACACCTAAAAGTACACAGATAATTTAAGAAAAACAAAGCAAAAAGCAGCATGTATGTTACCTAGAGAACCACAAATGATTAGGTGCCACAGTTTCACTGCACATAAAATGCATCTTTTCATTCAACATTATCCATGGGATGTCACATCCCTAGAGACTTTCTGTTTCAAGAAACCAGAAAATTAAAATTGACAAATTTTTAATGGAATATTGCAGTATATATATATATTATTTTTTTTACAGGCTTCTGTGCACATTTTTTATTAAGTCATGTGCCCTTGTAATCGTAGGAAGATTGACTAACTTCATCCACAGTGCTTCATGGGAGTGGGCAGGTGCTAAAGACTCATTTTGGTGCAAATTGTTTGGATTATCTGTTTGGTGGATTTTTTTTTGTGTGCAGAATCATGAGTAATGATTGAACTGAATTCATGTGGGCTGATGCATAACATCGATTACCACCCTCGTAGCTCACAGCCTTTAAATACTTACATTTTTTTTTTTTTTTTAACATTAACTTAGAGAAAATTGAATTTTTTTTACTTGCGGAACCAGAGTGTTACAAATATATATATAAAAAACTTGTTCTACACGTCGCCCAAGGTGCCGGGCCCTTCAAGCATTGTTTTGTTTAATTTTTATGTTGTGAAACGGAAATTAATGACAGAAACAACATTTTATTTTTAAATGTTGATGCTGCAAATAATTTATTATGTCCCAAATAAGTGTAATATAAAGGCGTGACTAGTTTATAGGCAGGCAGTGTGTGAAGAAAGCGAATGACTAACCGCGTCTCCTCAATCAGACGCTATTCATTAAAATGGCCTCTATCAGCGGCGAGGAACAATGACTTGCACCCCCATTTTCACAAGAGACACGTCGAGGTCATGAATTAGCGAGTAACTTTTCAAAGTCGACATTTTAAAAGTCGTCCATTAAACACAATGTGCCGCGAGGCAAGCTTTTGTAAAGTTTTACCAGTTTCACACTGCACGCCAAATCACGAATCCTACTACCGTGAAGGTTTAAGCCATGATTCATGAATATTAATTGCTTCGATGACGTTGCTACGTAAAGTCTCTATAGCGTTGACTTGACTTGAATTACAACGAACGCCTTCACTATAGTAGGATCGATCCTACTATAGTGAAGGCGTTCGTTGTATATTAAGTCAAGTCACGCTATAGAGACTTTACGTAGCAACGTCATCGAAGCAATTAATATTCATGAGCCAACACTTCACCATAGTAGGATTCGCAAATTCGCGCCCGGCACAAACCCGTTTGCAACAAAGACAGAGTCAAACCAGCCATGACTGGCATTGGCTGCTGTTAACAGCGCTTTAACGGCTCAATGCTCTCTTTAACCAGCAAATATACGAAAAGATGAAACTATTAGCAGCTACACGGCAAACACAGCCATGATACACGGTGCACTTCACGACAGACTTTCAGGCCATTTAGGAACCCGGGTTTTGTTTGAAGCAAATTTTTATATCGCCAGCCATTTTAAAAGCATGTTCGTCACCCAACTTCGGTTTAACCGACAAAAAAGGTAGTTTTTTTGGACCTTAAAGGAAAGCAAAATGGTTTAAAAAGAAAAAAAATACACACCACCGTTAACATTTCACTGGAAATCAGTTTTATACACGAAAAAAATGGTTAGTTATACATAAAGTATCGTTTACGCAACAAAAAAGGATTTCAATAATTAAAATAAGATTTTAAAAAGAACATCATGCAACAATTAATAGTTTAAAATTGAGAGCTTTATAGATACCTTCTTAAATGTTTGTCCTGTCGTCTGTTCTCCACAGTCAGTCACACTAACGGCCTCGCGCTTCCTCTCTATAGAAGACCACACAGCCTCGCGCTAGCTCACTACGAGACCCGCCTGATTGGTTAGTCCCGGCGCGCATTTAAAACAGCCTCCACAACTGTGGATTGGTCAAACGATCTTATATATTCATAAGACTGGCGCCGGCATTGGACAAAAGCCTAAGACACGCCCCATTATTCAAAAACAAGGCGGGAATTGCTGTCAAAACAACAAAAGTTAAAAAGGTCTGTGGCAAACCACGTGTGAGTGTGAACTACTGTGCACTATAGAGAAACTGTATTCAGCAATTAAAGACTGCATACTGTACAGTGTTTAGGGCGTGATAATACTGAGTTGAGGAGTAGAAATTGGGGTAGTTTGGCTGCCATATGAATATGCAGAGGGCCTACATAAAGAGAAAGATGGTAATATAATCAAAATAAAGTGAAGTTACTTTTAAATTAAAGTCTAACTCGAATCCCTGAGTGGTCAAATAATAGTATTGCTCCACAACCATGTATCAATGATACATGATTGTGGAGCAATACTATTATTTGACCACTCAGGGATTCGAGTTAGACTTTAATTTAAAAGTAACTTCACTTTATTTTGATTATATTACCATCTTTCTCTTTACATGCAGCTAGCGTTAAGATTGACAAGAATTATTTGTTTTATTATAAACATTTAGCTTAAATGGCATTTACGTGTACTTCAAACCCATGCTTTAAAAAAAAAAAGTAACTATAGTAACTACATTTTGTCTAATTAAAAGTAAATTTGCAGATAGAAACATCAGAAATTAGATATAATGGACTACCAAAAGCAGCAGATATAGTTTTTGTAAGATTTTTTTCTTCATACAACAAAATTCTGTTCAACACTAATATACACAATTACAAATTTAAGCTTATAACAAATTAGACAAGTATTATAAAAAAAAAAAAAAAAAATTGGCATTACAAACGCATCTAGAAAATAAAACATGTATGCATTAGGCAACGTTTAGTACTTCTTATGTAACAGTAATATTGAATAGCATTTAAAATAATAATAGTTTATCTGAAGGTGGCAGTTTATGTGTAAAATAAATGTGTCACTCGCTACCACAGAACAAATTTATCCACAGATTTTATATTATGCATGATTCTGAATTATGTTACATTTTAATTAGTAGTAATTATTGGAGGCAATAAAAGAGCAAGAACATTCTCGCCAAAGCCACTGGTATATTCAGGCATGTTTTTGTTCTGGATTACATTTTATTGTTAACTACTAAATTTGATAACAAAAAAGAAACCCTTCCCTTGATGAAGCTCAGATGTTAAAGTCATCAACCGAATGTGCAATTTTCATTTTTACCCCCAACAATAAGTGACGAAATAAAAATAATTCAAAAAGTTATGCATAGAAAACTCATTTTATGGAAAATGTTTGTTGAATGTAGTGCTATGCTATTGGGTTCATGGCCTTTAGATGGCACTCATGACCAAATGCTCAGACAGTGGTCTGCATGGGTATGCCTTCATGCTCCGAGGAAGAGAAGAAAGAATGTGATGAAGCTGCATCTCGTTTTAGCTCCTCCACTTTCTTCTGCAACTCAGACTTCAGGACCAACAACTCCTTCAGACTCTGATGAACAGGAACCTGACAGACAGACAGACAAGGGGGAAAAAACATTTCACTAAATGTGAGGTTTTTACATCACAACATTTTCAACTTTTGTACAATTGCAATTAAATTACAAGATAAAATGAAAACAAACAAATAATAACAATAAAAAAGGTCCAATTAAAATGTATATAAAATAAATACATATAAATGTAAAATGTAACAATAAATAATGCATTGATAAATAATTGTTAAATAGTATTTTTATATTTTCTTTATCAAAATGCAAAAAAAGGACTCTGTACTCTGTAAAATAGTTATATTAAGTACAAGCAGGAGGTAAAAACAATAGTACAAATGTTTCATATATATTTTCTTTATCCGATTAAAATTCAGCTGACCTGAGCAACCAAGTTCATTTGTTGCACCCAAATGTGAAGTATCTACATAATCAGAATTCCTTTCTTACTTTTTTAACCATATACATATATGGCCAAATTTATATAAATAAATATTACACATAAATATCAGCAACTGCACCAAAATGCATATTTTTGTTTAGTTTTGGCCTAAACAAATACAAATTTGGTGTTTTCTCCCTCTTTGAGTATGATGTATCAAATATGATACTCAAAAAACACATGGAATTATTAAAAAAAAATATTATTTATGCATTTTAATAAAAGTATTTTGTCTAAAGGTTCAATAAACTGTTCCAAAAAATAAATAAAAAATAAATGATTGCATATGTCAGGCTTTACAGTTCACAAAACACATTTTCACCTACTTCCACTGAAACACATGTGGAATGATGAGTTATTAAACATTATCATCTCCCGCATCCCCTGCTCACCTGTGGCCTCATGCGAGGATTCCAGCGCACATAATAACTGACCCAAAGCTCTAGATGTCTCAGACTGGCTACCGGATATAAAACATGGTGCTCGTAGTTCACATACAGTGGGTTGGTAAACTCCTCAAGCTGGCTGTTCACATATGACCATAGAGACACGGTCTTACTGTAAACCTCCTGCACAATCAGAATGGAATGACATGAGGGTGAGTAAATCATGACAGAATTACTGTTTACACCTGGTCACTTAAATTCCAGTTCACGTCAACCAAAGCAACAGACATGAGCCGCATTTTATTTATCATCAGCTAATTTCAAGATCAAAGACCGAAATATGAGAGAGAGAGAGAGAGAGAGAGAGAGAGAGAGAGAGAGAGAGAGAGAGAGAGGGGCATCAGCACTGGTAAGATCATTTAGTCTAGTTGAGCGTCTGCTACTTACTTTCAGTTTTATTTAAAGGATTTTACACGTCACATGTTTTTGACATAACTGCAATGTCACGTGAGCGTAACCGCGATGGAGATGATGATCAAAACCCGACGCACGAGCTGTAGAGGCTCTGCCCTCTTCTGGAAAGCTGGGTGGGGAGCAGCAGCTCATTTGCATTTAAAGATACATTCAAGAAAACAGCATGTTTTTCCTTCCACTCAAAAATGGTCATTTACAACATGGTATAATATGATCTGTGGAGTATTTTGAGCGTAAACTTCACATACACATCTTGGGGACACTTGAGACTTCTATTACATCTTGTAAAAAGGGGCATAACAGGTCCCTTTGAAATCCGAAAGCATTCCGGAGGGCATTTACACCTGGGGCCTCATTTATAAAACTTTGCATAGGATTTGCGTCAGAAGTGGCGTACGGATGAAACATAGGACGTGCGTACGCACAGAAATATTCAGATTTATAAAACCGTGCACACGCACATCCTACGCATTTTTCCCTTAATAAATCACAATCAATTCTAAATGTAGCGCAGCTTTTGCGGCTTCATGTCACGCCCATAGTTGCCCATAAATAGTCCGTGAAACGCCCAAACGTTAATATTCATCGATAGCGAAATCATGGCAAACATAGAGAGGAACTCAAAAAAACGTAACTTCACTCAATGTGAAGTAGAAGTTATCGTTGGCGAGGTGGAAAAGAGGAGAAAAATGTTGTTTGGAGGGCACAGTGTGGGCATTACTAATGCCAAAAAGGCACTTGAGTGGCAAAAGGTTGCAGACGCCGTAAACGCTGTAGCCTCACAACCTCGGACTGTAGCCGAAATAAAAAAGAAATGACAAGCTACAGATGTCGGTTATAATCTACTTGGAAATGGGAAATAGTTCAGCGCAAATGTAATTTCTTGCAGCTTTCTGAATGGTTGAGACATACGTCATACGTTATTTTATCAAAAATAAAACAAACTAAAGGCATATGCATGAAATACCATGATTCCGTAGCTGATAAAGACATTTTTACTATGAAAACAACTTTCCCCAGTGGACAAATAATACATCTATCTATTTATCTATCTATCTATCTCTCCCTAATTATCTATCTATCTGACTGACTATCTAGCTATATCTAGCTATATCTGCTCCGCCTGACGGACACATTGGTGAGAATATCAGTTTTGTACATTATTTTGTTCTGTTTACCATCTTATTTATGACGATGAATTGTATAACATGCCAATATTATTGCAGAACATATTTCACTTTTCTTTTTGTGTTTCACACTTTCACGTGTTTCTTCCATCTGCCGACGGTGTCGCCATTTCTCATTTCACCCGTTTTTGTGCGTACGCCTGGGTCAGAGCTTGCGTGAAGGACCGCACATTTTACCGTCAAGTTTGCTTTTTATAAATACCAATTATTGCGTAGAGAGCGGCGTACGCCTTCTTTTGTGCGTTTATAAATGAGGCCCCAGGTCTTTTCACGACCTGACAGTTATCCAAACACAGGAAACGCATAAAGTGACAAGGTGTAAACAGGCACTAAAACCAAGTGACATTAATGCGCATAACAGTTGCACACATCTGTTCTTGCCTTCGAGACTCGCTCTTGCTCGCTGTTGTAGAGAAATGTCCCAAACAGGCAGCTGTAGAGGTGATCAAGCACCGTGACCAGAAACAGCTCATTGAATTCAAATGCAGAGGGAAACTGTGGAGAGAACAGAGGTCGTATCATACACGTTTCATTTTGTTTTTTTAGCTCCACTCGCCACTTTTTCCTCACCTGTCGTGTCATTTGCCAGACACAGTCGATGAACTGCACAAAGAGAGGCGAGCGCTCAGAGTTTGCGTGATTCCCATCTCCATGTCCCACACGCTAACAGACAGAGGTAGAGGAAGATACAGTGAGATGTTTGTACACATTCAATGCAGTATGTGTTTTTCCTTACATGCAGAATGTTTCTGACCGAAGCAAAGCGGTGTCCGAAGCTCAGCCATTCCTTCTCCAGCAGCACCTGGAAGCCCCTGAGCGAGCGGTAGTGCGCGTCCAGCATGAGCATGGCCAGAGAGGTGAGCTGAGCCGTGCGGTCCCAGCCATCACTGCAGTGCACCACCACTGACGTCTTACCCGACTCGATTCGGTCTGCGATGCGAACCGCACCTGCTAGCAAGAGCTACAGAAAAAACAGTGATGTTGTACCTTTAAGAAATACTTTCTATTTTTACATTTAGTTAGTTTCAATCGTTTTCTTTTTCTAAATGACACATTTTTGAATGATTAATTAATTATTTGAGCAACCTTAAATGTGTGAAAGACAAATCTAGAGTATGATAAACAGAAAAGTGTATAATTTATGCACTTTTAACCTGTTAAAGGTGCTGTATGTAATTTTTTGACTGTACTAAAGCTAAAAAAACAGGATTGGTTAAATAATACATATATATTTTCATTATCCAATTAAAATCCAGCTGAACTGAGCAAACAAGTTAATTCTCTATTATGTTTTTTTTTTCTTTCATAGAAAATCAATGGAAAAGCAGTGCATTGAAATTCTCAGTGAACATAATATATATATATATAAATAGCAGAGTCCACACCACAACTATAATGATAACGGCACAGAGAAATTATATTGTTGGAATCTCTTTCAGAACAATTTTTTTCCCAGCTGATGAACATTAAAAACATTGACAGCCAATCAGAATCTACCCTGCTCGAGCATTTAAAGTAGCAGAGGACATATATGTAGCTTGCGCTTATAAACATAACGCTATAACTATATAACGATGGAGGCTAATATAGTTTTCGTTATAGTTATCTTCAGTGTTGGGTAATATTACTTTAAAAAGTAATGAATTACATTATTGCATTACTCCATAAAAAAGTAACTATGAACAAACAGGAAAACAGGTCTTAGACTTGTCTGAGAAATTGTTAACGGCAGTATGAACTGACTGGGGATGTCTATGGACTTTTGAGTTTTGAGGTAATTATCTTACGTAGCTTGTAATCTTTATTGTTGCCATTTTATTCGATTTAAATATCTAAATGTTAGTAAAAACCTTTTACATATTAATCTGCATACTAATGCTAGTAATGGGATGGACATCAATTATGCTCGTCTTTTCCCGCTCATTTGAAGGTATCTTGAGTGAAACGGCTCTATATTTAACAAAGCACATATAAAAGACCTGAACTGGAAGTGATGAAACCTGCTTTACAGAATACTGAAGTTTATTGCACATAACCCTCATTGCGTTACTAAGTTACTTTTTTATGGTAATGCATGATTTTGAAATAATTTCACTTGAAAAAGAAACATTCTTATGAACATCTTGGAACTTAAGAAATTCTTCTTTAGAAGATTTTCGTGAATCCAGCCCCAGAAGGTGACTTCATCAAGCCTCTCTACAGAATCAGCCAATGAATTGCTTGCTTGCAAATTAAAGTGAAAGAAATATTTTAAAACATCACTGAAAATTCCTGAGTATGAAAGTCAGGATATATAATGACCACCTGATTCAATCATGGTTTCAAAAAACGAACATGGTGTAGTAGTGACATAATCCAGATTCTCACCCTGATGTATTCCAGCCAGTGCGTAGAATCCACAGATGAGAACCAGTGCTGTTGGTCGATGGCAGGATACACCACCTCCTTGAGTTTCCTCAGGGATTCTCTCATCACATGTATGTTGGGGATCTCCAGAAAGTTCAGCTCCACATTGATGTAGAAACTCTCATTCTCATATCCTCCATCTTTGGTCTATAAATGTGGAGCCACATATAAGCCATTCTAGAAAATCTGGTACAGTAGTGGGTTTGTTGCTGGCACAAGATGGTCATCACACATGATGCTGTAATTTGTATGGGGAACATGTTTTGACACAGCCCATCAATCTATGAGCTTTCTATCATTTCTTTCATAGTAAAACTGAACTGAACTTCTTTTTGAATCCACATAAGAAAGTTATACAGCTTTGGAATGACATGAGGGTGAGTAAACGATGACAGATTGAATTTTTTTGGTTAGTTTTAGTCTGTGTTGAGGTTTAAACTGGTTCAGTGAAACCAGTATTCATACTTTTTTAGTATTTAAGAATACAACTGATAATCAACCGATTCTCTAAGTAAATTTAGAAACTAAAACAGGTTAATAAGCTCAATTCCTCCCTTACTGATATGCATTGTATGCAAGGTTTCTCAAACATCTCATGTACAGTATATGATTTTTGTATAAAACATTTAATTTGGTCTTCACTGACCTTCTGATCTAAAGGCTTTAATGCTGGAAATTAGTTTTGTGGACATAACTACATCAATTGTATCAATACATGTACTGTCTCAATAAAAAAATATTTGTTCTTCCTTTTAATGGAAATGCATTTATTTGATCAAAAATACAGTCAAAACAGTAATATTGTGAAATATAATTACAATATAAAAGAACTGTTAACTATTTGAAGACATTTTAAAATGTTAAAATTTATTCCTGTGATGCAAAGCTGAATTTTCGGCATTATTACTCTCAGTCACAAGATCCTTCAGAAATCATTCTAATATGATGATTTGGTGCTTTCTTATTATCATCAATGTTGAAAACAGTAGTGATGCTTAATACTTTTTTTCAGGATTCCTTGAAGAACAGCATTTATTTGAAATATAAATCTTTTGTAACATTATAAATGTCTTTACCGTCACTTTTGATCAATTTAACGTGTGTTGTGGAAATTTACTTTTAAAAGTAATGCGTTACAATATTGTGTTACTCCCTACAAAAGTAACTAATTGCATTACTTACTTACTTTTTATGGAAAGTAATGTTACATTACTTTCGCGTTAATTTTTCCTCACCTGGGCTAGGCTTGTTTGTTTGCTTTTTAGTAACTGAATTATTTATTTTTTAATCATTTTTCAATTATTCAGGGGTTGTGTAATATTTTGAGTTCGCATTTTACAGTTTTTATTCATTTTGAGGACTGCTGAATCTGTTTTTGTGCAAGAGAGATGAGTAAATGCTCACATTTAGTCTGGAACTACAATAACCATAATGTGGTACCTTAATCACGATTTCTTTCAACATGGGGACAGAACAGATGTCATGCAATAAATGGAAAAACAAAGTAACTTGCGTTACTTGTTTAAAAAAGTAATTCGATATTTTGTTGTAAATTTCAAAGTAATCCGTTACTTTACAAGTTACTTGAAAAAAGTAATCTGATTTCGTAACTCGCATTACCCCCAACACTGGCTGCAGTATTTGTTTTTTAAAACAGTTTCTTACTTTGTTGGTGTCAGCCACAGTGCATTGGCGAGCATCAAAGATGCAGAGCTTGTGAGACTGAGCGTTGGCGTCGAGTATCGTCTGAAGGTACCGTTCATCCTCCCTGCAGCGACGGTCTGATGGGCCCACCTGTGGCTGACTGCAGCGCACTATAGCGGCCTGACTCTCGGGGTGAATCCAGGACAGCACCTGAGGGAATGTGATTACGTTTAAGAAGATGGTCATGACAGAACAAATAAAACAGTGTGGCTAAAAACCGCCTCCATGCCGTTATGATTGGTTGCGGCGATATTCACGTGGTAAAGACCGTCTCTCGTTTTCGAGTGTGTTCCGTATTTGCAAATCGGTCTGAATTGATAAATAATGGTGTTAATGAAAAGGCAAATTAAAAAGTAAGTATACAACTCAGCCACTTGATATCACTGCTTTATGTGAAAGTGACATGTGAAGGCCATGCTCGGAATTTGTCCTATGAATTTAACCCATCCAAGTTAGAGCACACACATTAGAAGAAGTGAGTAGTGAACACACACACACACACTGCAAACCATGCCTGTACTGAGAGTCAAACCCGTTTTCGTTAACTATAATAGCACTGATGACAATACAGATGCTGCTAGAGGATATTTCAATTGGCCAAACAAAGGCCCGAGATCCAAGGTTTTTCAAGAAAAAAAAAATTCTTACAGGGAAACGCCGTTTGGCCCTAAAGGCCGCCACTCTCTTCAGTTCGTCCTCTGTGACGTTTGAAGGCAGGACCAGCAGAGCAGGATACGTCTCACACACCTCATAACTGCTGTTCACTTTACTGATGATCCAGCTCTCGTTTGGAAGACCCTGCCATCACCCACAACATCGACATCAGGTACATCAGAACATACTGCAATACCAAAATGATTACCTGTCCTGATACAAACACATTTTGCATATGGTGAGTGGTGATGACAGTTCTTACCTGTCTCTTGTACTCAGCGATTGGGTCGTAGATCTTCCAGCCATCTTCTGGAAACTTCTCTCGGTATTTAAAGGCAAAGAGAGGCTGAGGGAAGAGAAGGAATGTGTATCATTAAACACATTGAAACATCGTCAGCTAGTGCGCTATGGTGTGTATAGCACATCCTCACGCGTGTGTCATATGTGGGTGTTTTCAAGAAGTCGTACCAGGTTGTGGGAGAGAGGGAACGCATACTTTGACATTATTTCAAACACCTCCAAATCGCTCTGTCCCTCCTTCTTGTACGCAAACCGGGGGTTTCTCAGGTCCTGTGAAAAGAAATGGTTAATTTTAAAGAGTGTGCAAGAGAATAGAAAGCTAAGCTAAGACAGAAAAGGGAAGGGGCCACGTATGGAAGCTTGTCTCCGCAACAGAATAAAAAATTAAAAAAGGTAATTGCGACTTTCTCTCTCTCGCAATTGCGATTTTACATCTCGCAATTCTGAGAACTAGCAATTGCAACTTTATATCACGCATTTCTGACTTTAGAAATCAGAATTGCCACTTTATATCATGCCATTTTGACTTTATATATCGCTATTGCGAGTTTATATCTTGCAATTCTGACTTTATAACACGCAATTGCAACTTTATATCATGCAATTCTGACTTTATAACTATTAATTGTGAGTTTATATCCCACTATTCTGACTTTATAACACACAATTGTGTCTTTATATCATGCAATTCTGAGAAAATTTGCGAGAAAAAAACATTTTCTTTTTGAGCTTTTTTTATTTTTTATTCAGTGGCAGAAACAAGTTTCCATTGGCCAAGAGCCGATGAAGGGTGAAAAAAGAAGAAAACTGATTTGTCCTTTGCCTTGCAGACTATCTCAAGTCCTTGAGTGTTGTCTCCGTGACTCTGAACAGCGATAGACTCAAGTCTGCTTACGGCTCCAAGATTCACATCCAGCACAAATGGAGAATCCTTTCGCAAACACAGAAACAACCTTAATAACCAATCAAAACATTTGTACTTGTTGAGATCTGAGAAAACACTGGAATAAAAGCACTAATTTAATCAATCTACTGAGACAGTAACTCAACAGAAACTCAGTACAATGCTGTTCAAAAGTTTGGAATAATTAATATGAAAATTTTGGCCGATACCAATAACCGATAATTCTTTATATTTGAAATCCGATAACCGATGTATTGGCAGATAAATCTAAATCCAAATTTTTATATAATTTTTGAGAGCCTGATTACAAAAACAAAAGTCTCACTATTAAAATCCATGTCCCAAGCACACAATTATAATGTTCTCATTATAAATTTATGTAGCCTAAATGACAGACTTGCATGGCTTATTTCCGTTGTGTTGTACATTTTCCGTTGTGTTGTGGTTAATTTCCGTTGTGTTGTGGATTAATTTCGTTGTGTTGTGAACTTACGGTATATTTGCTTTTTAAATTTCGTTGTGTTGTGCACTCCTGGGCCACCGTATGTGACTGCCTTTCGATAATGTAAAAATAGGTAGAAGAGTGGGTTTACCCGTGTCAGACTCTTAAAGTAGAGCTTGTAATCAGTGATGGTGAGAGTCCCTCTCACAACCCCAGAGAATGGACAGATATACATGACGTCTTTGACTGTGAAAACACCACAGCGTACAAAGGTTATCTACCATTGCTGTGCATATGTGTGGAAGACTATTCCATCCACTTTTGCCTAACCTATACTACCTAAAAAGGACGACAATAATATGTAAAGCCTTGTCCACTGACCTTCTGATCTAAATTATAACTTCTTATGTCATATTATGTTTAACTTGCTATGCTTCATGGTGGTTCTGTGCTGTTACATCAGGTAAAAAGATCCTAAACCAGGAATGCGCACGTGTTAAGGTCCTTACCGATAGCCTTGATGGTTTCTCCAGGAACACGTGGAGCCTCCTCCATCTGAGCCTGCTTATTTCCTTCTCTGAGTGCCTGTCAGACATTGGAACAAACACATTTTGATATGATTACATGCACATTATTTTCCAATTAAGGTCCATATTCTGAATAAGATTTTTTCTGATAAGATGTTCTTCAGAAGTTCAGAAGTTATTGAAATCATCCAAAATTCTTCTGATTAATACAGGCATATGCCAGCTGTCTTATTTGAATTTCTAGAATCTAGAATTGTGGCTTTTTGCAGTTAGGTTAATGTGTACATAATCAGAATATGTAAAACTCACCCAACTGCTAAGGTGTTTCTGGTAAAGTCATCAGCAAACCCAGAGCCCAATGTCACTATAATATCATGGTACCTAAATATGGCCCATGTCCCCCTTTCAGTGAAAGTCTATGGCATACAGTAGGTCTTCAACCCTGAAGCAAAGTGTTCTGCAAAGTTTATATCCAACCTGCTTCAGATTGGGATTTTCATGTAATCCTGAAGAGCTTGCGTTGGTAGCTATATGCCAAAAACAACCACAGCAAACACCAAAACATGGAGGGGGTTGCAATACAGATGTTGCAAGATGACCTATATACATCATGACAACCACATATGAATGTATTTTTTCAAAAGAAAAACAAAAAAACAAACAAAAATCGCATTTCATGGGATTTTTTGCCGTTCACACTTGCTAAATCTGATCGGGTTTCAATCTGATATGCACAAAAAATCTAATTTAGACTGATAGTCTGAATGAGGCTTTACAAAACACACACACACACACACACACACGTTAAACAAGAATTAAACAAATGGAGATTTAGAAAAATACCTCTCCAGATACAAAAATACTCTGTATGTGGTTTCCTTTCCACCACTCCCAAACTTTAAGTTCTCTCTCTGCCTAAAGCAAACAGCCGGTCCAATGTTTGAGGCTGTGAACTAAACGCGGAAGGCAGAGCTGTAATTCAGAGGACTGGAGAAAATCTCAGTGAGATTCATATCTTTTTATGCTTTCATTAACTTTGACAGAAGGGAATATGCACTTCACATAGCTAAAACACATGGACAAAACTGTAGCATCTTGATGGTGAATTTAGCACCAGTAACTAGTAAACTATGGTCTACATGCATTATCTTTTAAGATCCCATGAACCACAAGTAAATGTTTTGGCCCTGAAAAAGCTGTTTTCGTGAGCAAACTGCTGTCAGCAAGCAGTAGGGTGTTCAGCGGGATGAGGGTCTGCTCCACCCACAGTGACAGAACTGTTTGGCAGCTTCGTGGACACAGACGAATCTGAGAATTCAGTCATTCTGTTGCGGTCCAGCTGCAGGACAACGACAGCACTGTGGAATTCAACAGGCTTGACCTTCACCAAGACAAAAGATCTATGGAGATCTGTTCAGCATTATGCTAATAAAGCCCTAGAAAGATGGCACGGGGTGGTGATATTTCATAATGGCATATGAGTCAAGCCATTTGTGTTTTCCCCCTCACACATTATGTCATGTGCTATATCAATAATGGAGAAAAGGCATGTGGCAGATTAAAATACAAATCATGCTCTTTCGACAGCATCTGCGGCACAGAAAATAATTTAGACTGGGTAAAAACAAACTGAAAATGTGTTCACAGTAATAAATCTAAAGTGCTTTTGCAGGCAAGCATGAAAATAAATGATATCCAAATATTATAATTAATGCATTTACATGGACAACAAAATTATGGTAAATATAAAAAAAACAGTTCATTATAAATGCAAGAAATCCACATTTACAAGATTTTACGGCCGGCCGGCCGGACAGACAGATAGAGAGACACAGATAGATTGATGGATGGATGAACTGACAGACAGACAGACAGACAGACAGACATATAGATGGATGGACAGACAGACAGACACAGATAGACAGATAGATAGATAGATAGATAGATAGATAGATAGATAGATAGATAGATAGATAGATAGATAGATAGATAGATAGATAGATAGATAGACAGACAAGACAGATAGATAGACGGACAGACATATAGATATAGACATGAATGGATGGATGGATGGACAGACATGCCCCCGTCCTGTTCCAGTGCCACTTTCTGACATAACCACACAAGGTAAAGTTAACATCTGTCTTGTTACTAGCGACAAAAAACTTGCAACAAGTGAAACAGAAGCATGTGTCTTGAACAATACTGTAGCCTTAAACCATGGTCATGACCAGTACCAGAGTTCAAAGACGGGGATGGACTCACATACATTCATGCATACAAATTCACGTACTTTACTACCATCTACAGCGTTAATTGGGAGGGGGTTACAATGTTATTTCATGAGCGGGAGCTTGAAAAAGAGTGAGAAGAGGACAAATTATTTCACGTTAAATAGCATTTAACCCTAAAATTACTTTTTTTTTTTTTTTGGATGTAAGTGTCTTGAAACGGTCTATTTCTGTTTGTAAGCAAGTAATCATGTCAAAATGTTAACATGAGTCACACACAAACACACACAGAGGAAGACTTGCCGAAGAGGGGGCAGTCTGTTGAGGGTCACTGTCCAAGAGAAATCCTTTAACCTCCACATCACAGTCCTGCACCAAAGAAACACCACAACACCACAGAAAAAAACAGAGATCGATGAGGAAAGAGGAAGAAAAAGAGAGCAGTGCATGTAACCACACACCAGAAAGATGCAATCATTTCAAGAAACTATGAGAACTACAAGCTTTCACGCAGGTGTAATAAGGTCAAAAGGGCTCATACACGTTTTGTGTCGCTTTATATTTTTCCAGAAGTCTTAAATGTTAGTCAAGGTGTCTGCACCAAAAACTCTGAAAAGAACAGTATGGTACTGACTGGGATGGGCGAAAGTATTTTAACATAAAAAAATGACATTACTTTTATGTTTCAATACAGGCTATTTTTGGACTGGAGAGAGAAGTTCTGAAATTTACAATTTGTTATCATAGTCAACTTTTATTTTATTTTTAAAAGTTGAATTTGACTAGATTTACATTAATTTGACATGGTATATGATCCCTTTAAATAACCGAAACAGAAGCAGTGTCAGAGTCAGAGGTTCTGCATGATTAACAGAAAAGTAGATTTTAACTCACGAGAGTCATCAATGTTTGAAGTTCCATAGCTTTTTTCCCCCATGAATGTATTATAAAATTGGTCCATATTACCTGTGCACAATATTCCAAGTCTTGCTAATCATCCAACAGCTTTGTGTGAGGAACAGACAGATTTTCCATCTTTTCAGAGAATCAGTTGATCTAGTTCATTAAACTGGTCTGAATGATTCACAAATCTGTTGTTGTGTTCAACAGATTTAATGATCTGGTTAACAGCATGCTTTTTCAGCCTGTTCCTCACACAAAGCTCATTTGAGTTATCTGGACTATTTTTATGATTCTTTTATGATTCTAGGATATGGCCAGGAGAAAATAACCCTTTGTGTTCCAGCACAAAATGAGGAGTAAATACTTTCTTTTTCATATGAAATTAGTCAGAAACAAGTGGAGAGTAGACATGACAAAATAACTTGATCAGCAACGTTCTGACCCACTGTGGTTTCGTTTCGTGACAAAAACAGCAGTTGTCTAAACTGTGCTGACTCTTGCATAAGAGTGTATAAACTAAAAACACTGGGTGGAGATCTCTGGCAATGCATAAATAAAAAAAACAGAAACCTGTTTTGAGTTAGTGAGCATTTACATGTTTCGTCATATTGATTGCTTCTGTACGCGGTCTACTGCCTCTACGTATTGCCACACATTGATGAAATATAAGTAAAAAAAAAAAAAAAAAAACATGAATAAATCAAGGAACATTAGTGTCACAAGTATCTACAAAACAAAAGAAAGCAGATGTATTCTTTGTAAAAGTAATGCAATTCAAACCGAAAGAGATCTGTGTTGAGATATAATAATAAAAAAAAGTATAATAATAATTAATATAACCACTAGCACATACACATACCTTGCACTCTCTAGAAATCGTCTCCGAGCTGATGGATCCAGAGATCGGACTTGACATTGTGGCTGCAATCAGTTGTTTGCACCATTCAACATGAGCCCCTGTGGGACTATAATATAAAAGTGTTAGTGAGTTACGAAATACTTCTGACAATAATATATGTATAAGCGCACTCATTGAGCATTTGTTCATGTTCAGCTGGCTCTTATTCACCTCAATAGTTATGTTGTTGACTCAGACTCTGCTGTTGCATCTGTAGCTTATGTACTTTTATATTCATACTTTGTAAAAATGTCTTGAGCACTGGCTAAAAGGAATTATAATTACTTTTTTTTTTTTTTACTTCTTCTTCTTCTTCTTCTTGTTGTTTAATGGCGATTAACTCCTAAGGAGCATTATCGCCACCTACTGTGCTGGATGGAAAATTAACCTTGGGTGATAAGTCTGAATTTTAAAAACTGTCTGCCTGTCTACTAACTATATCATCCCACATACATCATCATTATTTATCATACCTGCAATAGAGGTTTCATTGAGCTTCATCCGGCGCTGCGTGTTCAGCTCCTCCGTCCACACTCAGCCCCCATGGCGGGTTCAACGTTACACACATTATAATCTAAATCCCAAACCTGAATCATATATAAACGCAATTAATGCTCTATATATCTGCCTGTCTATTAAACCTTTTCCTAGAATATCCTCATTCTTCATTCTATCCTCTCCATTTTTCAAATGACTGAATAATACATCCCGAAAAATATTATACTTACTACAAATAAATAATACATGACATACATTTTCAGATACACCACATGCATCACATAATCCATTCTCATGTAACCCCATAATTGCCAGTGTTGAGTTTAACCCTGTATGTCCCAGTCTTAACCTAGACAGCAATACCTCTTCTTTCCTATTTCCTCCCTGGCAATGTATCTTCCCTACTGTCTGTGTGATACTATGACACCATCTCCCTTTGCTACTACTATCCCATCTAATTTGCCACTTATTCATTAACTTCCTCTTTAAAATCGATTTTGCCTCCTTTTTCCCCATAGGTACTCTAACATCCACCTCCCTCTTGTCTAGTGCTTTTTTTGCTAGTTTATCAGCAACTTCATTACCAGATACCCCAACATGTGCTGGTACCCAACAAAAATACACCACTATTCCTGCCTCTTTCAGTCTGTATAATGATAAATATATTTCCATTATTAAATCTTCTCTGTCTGATCTTGCATGTACTATACTAATTAAAGCTGAAGAAGAATCTGAACATATTACTACTTTATTTGGTCTGACTTGTTCAACCCACTGTAGGCCTATTATTATAGCTGTTAACTCTGCAGTGTACACGGACATCTCATCGGTCAACCTCAAACTAATCTGTTTTTTAAAATATGGAATATATACTCCTAATCCAACCTTTTGACTGATAGGTTCCTTAGAACCATCTGTAAATATTTGTAATACTGAATAAAATGTGTTATTTAAAAAGGCATTAATCTCATTTCCAATGTACTCCTCTTTGGACTTGCTTAGTAAACTCAAATCTACAAGCGGTTCAGGGACTTTCCATGGTGGAGTATCAGTAAGTGGTATATTGGGACAGAAGATCTTATTGTCCATACAACATTCCTTAGCCCATACTCTGCTCTTCCATCCAAAACTGTGTCCTTCATCATATGAGTATTCCCAGCACTCCTCCAATACTTTGCGAGTAAGGTGATTATTTGCTGATTGTTGAAGATTTACCCAGTATGTAATTGCCAGTTTTTCCCTTCTAATATCTAGAGGCATCTCTCCCATTTCTACTCCAATTGCATCCACAGGGGATGTTTTAACTGCTCCACAACATATTCTTAATGCTTTGGATTGAATTATATCTAATTTTTTCAGTAAAGACTTTGTTGCCGACCCATATACAATACATCCATAATCAAAGCAAGAACGAATCAATGCTTGATACATGCACAACAATGCACTACGGCTAGCTCCCCAATTGTGACTAGCCACCGTACGCATGCAATTTAAGATTTTTTTACACTTTGACTCAATTTTACTGATATGACATTTCCATGTTAATTTTTTATCAAACCATAATCCAAGATATTTAAAAACAGGTACTCTTTCCAATGTTTGATCATATAACTTCAGATCTAAATGTTCATTCCTCTTGTTCTTTGTGAATAGCATATATTGTGTTTTAGAGACTGAAAACTTTAGACCCCAATCCAATGACCATTCTTCCACTTCTTTAATTGACTCCTGTATACCTTTAACCACATTTTTAATATTACGGCCTCTCTTCCATAATGCTCCGTCATCTGCATAAAGAGCCAATCCTATTCCTGGTTTATTCACTTTATCAAAAACATCATTGATCATTAAATTAAACAATAACGGGCTAATTGCACTACCCTGTGGAGTTCCATTTAGAATGTTATAAGGAGCTGATAATTCTTCCCCAATTTTCACCTGAAAAGTGCGTTCAAATAAAAAATCTAAAACCCAATTATAAAATTTGCCACCTATTCCAATTTTATTCAGTTTAATTAGCAAACCTTCCCTCCATAAAGTGTCATAAGCCTTTTCTATATCAAAGAAGACTGCAATCATGTACTCTTTCATTACAAAAGCTTTTTTAACTTCATTTTCAAACAATACTAAAGCATCTGCTGTAGACCTACTTTTCCTAAAACCACTTTGAAATGTTGATAACAATTCTCTTTTCTCTAAAATGTAATTCATTCGCCTCACAATCATTTTTTCCATTACTTTACATAGTGTAGAGGTAAGAGCGATGGGTCTATAATTACTAGATTTTGTTATATCTTTCCCAGATTTAGCAAGAGGGAGCACAATTGCCGTTTTCCATTGTTTAGGAAGGATACCCTCATTCCATATATAATTATATAAATCCAGTAATATTTCTAATGCTTTTGGTGATAATTTCTTTAATATTCTATAACTTATCAAATCTTTTCCTGGTGTGGTACTCTTTGAGTTATTAATTGCTGTTTTTAATTCAAAATAACTAAACTCATCATCCAAAATATTATTAAAATCTTGTTTTTTCTTGCAAACATCTCCGTAAATATTCTTAATTTGCTGACGTCTTGTTAAAAATGTATCATCTAAATTGTCAATGCTATGAGCTTTAGCAAATGTTTGAGCCAACATAGTAGCCTTGTCTTTATCTGTGATAGCTACCTTCCCATTTTCCTCCATTACAGGTATTTTTTTAAAACTGTCAATTCCATTCATCTTTTTAATCATACGCCAGACTGCATTTATTTCAGTTTCTCTCCCTATCATATTGCAAAAGTTTTGCCATGCTGACCTTTTTGTACTTTTAATAATCTTTTTAACATAAGCCCTTTTTCTTTGATAATCTATGACTGCTTCTGGTGTGAGTGTTCTTTTTAAAAACTGAAATGCTTTATTCCTGTCTCTGATTGCTGCCGAGCACTCCTCTGACCACCATGGCACATTCTTTCTTGTATTTACACCACTTGATAGTGGGATAGACTGAGAAGCTGCAAAATAAATGCCATTCACTACTTTATTATATCTGTCATCAACACTACCCTCTACTGAGAGATTTTTGAATTGTTCTTCACATAACATTTGAAGTTTTCCCCAATCTGCTTTCTTATATATCCATTTTACACCAAAATTACATTTTTGTAGTTGAATCTTATTTTGAATTACACAAGTCACTGGAAAATGATCACTTCCTATATTATCTTTAGATACTGACCATACACATTTACCAGCTAATGATGCTGAAACTATTGTGATATCCAGACATGACATTCTACCACTTGCTATATCTATTCTTGTTGGATTGCCATCATTTAAACATACTAAAGAGTTATCTTCCATGAACTCTTCTATTATTTCTCCATTTTTATCTGTACTCCTGCTACCCCAAATACAATTGTGAGCATTAAAATCACCACATATAATCATTTTATTCGCCTTTTCTCCCATAACACTTTTCAGGATATCTATCGTTAATTCTGAACATGGATTATAGAAATTTAACACTCTGATTACCCCCTGTGTACCCATTATTTCAATACATATACTCTCTGCATTACCTTCATTACTTCTTTGTCTATATATCAGATTTTCTTTTATGAATGTTGCACATCCCCCACCTCTACCATTAATCCTGTCCTTCCTTATTACCTCATAGCCGTTCATCCTAAAGTCTAATGACTTGCATAACCATGTTTCTTGTATACAAATGATATCAGGAGATTTATTCAGATCTGCAATATACTTTTTAAACTCCTGTCCATTAGCTATTAGGCTTCTGGCATTCCAATGAAGCAACAGGAAAGACATGATAATGTTATATATCATTACATTGAGATGCATCATAATTTGTTGTTATACCACCTTCTGTTCTCCCTTCTTTAGACTGTAGAATCTTGTGAATTTGTTCTGCTGATATACCGATGCAGTTCAAGAACTTGTTTGCACAATCTACCACAATTTTTATTTTATCAGATCTTCTTCCTACCTGCCCAGTGCCATTCACCACTGCACAGATAAAAGCCACAAAATCAGTTTTGTTCATGTTAATGTTGTCATTTGAATCATTCTTTATCAAGTTCAGCTGTTCCATTGACTTGTCAATCTGAGAGGTTTGTTCCGGTCCAATATGTATTCTTGTATCGCCTACATGTTTCACTCTACGAGCTGCTTCTGCATATGTTACATTCTGGGTGGATTTTACCTTTTGGATTTCACGAGCCTGTTGCTGCACTGGACATCCTGCATATGCAGCACTGTGTTCTCCCCCACAGTTGCAACACTTGATCTCAGCTCCTTCCTGACACTTCCCGTATTCATGCTCCCCTCCACATTTTGCACAACGCATTTTCCCTTTGCAAACAGCAGCAGTATGACCTATGCGCTGACATTTATAACAACGCAAAGGAGGGGGTACATACTCCCGTACCACATAACTGATGAAACCTAGCTTTACCTTGACTGGTAGATTGCTGTCTTCAAAGTGTAACAGCACAGAAAGACTATCACACTTTTCATTATCTTTCCATGTCGTCAATCTTCTAGCCAAAGCAACTTTGCCTCCAATCAAGTTTCCTTTTATTTCTTCCATAGTTACATTTAAAGGAACTGCTGAAATAACACCACGTTTCTTCATATCTATTCCAGCACAACTTATTTTACCACCAGCTAGTGTTTTCAGTTTTAGAATCTTTGCTTTCTGATTTTCATCCTTACACTTAATCAAGACTCTTCCATTGCTCATACATGTTGCCCCTTTCACTGATCCCACTTCTTTTTCTATCGCTTTTGATAGTTTAACAGGATGCATGTATTGCTCTGCTTGTTTGACAAATGTGATCATTACTTTTATTTCCTTTTCCTCACTATTTCTCATCATCCTTTGCCCTGAATCCCTGATTTTACTTGTACATTCAAACTCATCACCCATGTTACTTCCTTTTTTCCTTTTATTATATCGCACTTCTTGGAACTCCATATCTTGATTACCATCATCGGATGAATCGTCCATTATGTCCACCTACTTCAACTCAAGAACCGTTCCTGATTTGTCCTTTTAGAATCTATTAATTTGTCCTGACGTTTCTTTAACCGCTGCCAGAACTCTTCGACGTCGACCGTCTCCACAGAGTAGCCCAACCTGAGTGAGTCTTTTTTTTTTTTTTTTTTTTTTTTTTTTTTTTTACTATTAGTAACTCAGCCAATTACATGGCACGGCTGGTCACGTGATATCAACACAGCGGCGCCCATGAGGGGGCGACCCGCTGCACTGAATAACAAAAGCTTTTTCTAAGACTATGTCTTGAGTCATCATCTCATGTATGCGTGGATCATTTATATAAAAAATTATAACCACTGTTTATTCCATGAGTAACACATTGATTATCTATTAAAAAAGTGCACCTTTAATAAAGAAAAGTCATCAGCGTTGCTCATGCTGATAAAGTAGCCTACTTTCTTATCAGCATGTCTGGTTATGAGACAACACCTCATTCAAACAAAGTAACGTTAAGATCAAGGATTTTATTTGCATCAAGTTCACTCAGTAACTAAACCGAAGAAACGCGCTGAAACACCTGGTTTATGACACCTCGTCATCAAATGCGACTTACACGAACGCATCCACGCCACTGATGGAGTAGATGGGGTGTCATAGTATATGGGGTGTTATTGGCACTAACCTGTCTGGAGTTTCGGGGTTTGACTGTGGTGCGGTCTGTCGCTTGTCCATCCTCTACTGTAAGCTTACAGAAAGTCAAAATCACGCTATGTTGCATATCCAAGGCTCATCGTGTGCCATACAACGGATAACGCTAAAACTTTGTGACTCGGAAAGACGCGAAATCCTAGGGATATCGCTCATAAATGTTAATCAGGTCTGTGCTGCGTAAACTTCCAATGGTGATGGCTTACTCATGAATATTAACTACGTTGCGTCGATATCTTCCAATGGCAAAGACTTAAAGTCATGAATATTAATACTCAGCCTTAAACGCAGTATGATTCGTAAACTCGCCTCCCGCACCGCCACGCCAGCGATAATAAATATCAACAAGACTACGTTACCCAAAATGCAATAGCGTGAGGTGTTTGGAAAGCGTCTCAAGGATTTCATGTAAAATCTTGGGGGAGTAGGGAGCACCCATCTGGCTCGGAACAATTCTTCCCCCAAATCCCAAATCCTGCCTTCTTAGCAGCTATTCACAATTAATGGGGAAAACACAAAGAAAATGTCCAACTATGCTCCCATAATGTAGAATTTATTTTTGAAGTGTTGAATCCTCATTTCCCCTGAAATGATTACCTACACGTTTGTGTTCTATTTTTATATTCCAAGAGCCCTGTTATTCTTTACTACCTCATTATAAATGAACACTGTATCTATGATCACGTGTAACAAATGCACGTTTTCATATTCAAAATTGAAGATATAGAACCTGCATACAGTACATGGATTACAAATCTCACATCTGAGTGACTCTACATGACACAAATGGGTCATTCCTGGGATTCGGTTTCCAGGGAAGAAGTAGCGTAGCGTATTTAAAGTTCTTTGGTAACGTGTTGTAATGTTTCCAATCAAAATACAGTTCAAACAAAAGTAATATTTGTAAGTGTTGTGAGAGATAAAATGATCCATCTATATATTTTTTTATACCACTTGTCCACCCTGCTAAACAGTTTTTACAATAATTTCATAAAAAAAATAGCACAAAAGACACATTAATAATTAAGTGACAATGAAAATGTATTGGAGAATCAATGTAACACTTTAACCCTCTGATGGTCTTCGGGGTCTATTGGACCCCAAATGACTTTTGCTCAAATTAAAAAAAATGTTCTCTTTGTCCAAATGGTTTGAAACTTTCTACGGCTCTCAACACTTTCTAGATCTACAAAAAAAAAAAAAAAAATTTTTTTAATGATATCTGTTTTTATGTTGGCGTGACAAAAATAGTCACACTCGTGGTCTTCGGGGTCTATTGGACCCCGCAATCAAAATAGACAAAATAACATCATCAAAATCAGAAACAACGTAGAACACATAGACAGAAATGACAGAAATAAAGTGGCACACTTCCAACAATGCAAAAAATATCCACAATCCAAAATTATCATGCTCACCACAGGCGCACACACACACACACAAACACACACATAAAGAGGAATACATTTATACAGGAATACATACAGACTATAAAAACTGTTCTCTTATCATTTGTAAAATAAAATAATCTAAAATGCAGAACCACCAGAAAAATAAATTGGTAACACTTAGACGCATTGAAAATGTGCGCACACACACATACACACACACACACACACACACACGCACACAGACACACAAACACACAAACACACACACACAGGAATACATTTGTAAGGCTATAAAAAGTCTTATAATTTGTCAAATAAAATCATACAAAATGAAGAACCACCACAAAAATAAATTGGTGACACTGTACACATAAAAATAAAATGTACACACACACACACAACAACAACAACAACAGTGAAGTGCCAAACCTGCTCCAACCCTGTCTGCAGAAGTCATGCGGTTTACCATGCATAGTGTTTTTTCAGAACAAAAAATGCTAAATTTTGACAAAAATTATATTATTTTTGTTATAATTGTGATTTTATAATATTTAGATATGAATCCAACTGAAGAAACTATATCTTTCAGTAATTCAAATAGCAAATAGCATATAATGGAGCTCTATAGCCATCTAGTGGTTAAAGTGATTTATTACAAATTTTAACCTGTATTTTCCAAAAAAAATGGGCAAAAATCTTACATTAAATCTTGGTATTAATGTAAATTATCCATGGTATCCCCAGGAATGAAAGTTAGAAATCTGGGTCTTTTGTAAAGTTTATTTAACATAAAATGCTGTTTTTTTGTAAAAATCCTATTTAATTAAATATTTATTTATTTATTTATAGAAATTTTAAAAAAAATCACAAATTCTCCAAAAACTGCACAAATGTTGAGTAAAAACATTAATAAACAGAGTAAAATTATATTTGTTAAAAAAAATATATATTGTTCGGTTACAAAATTAAATGTTGTTGTCTGGGGTCCAATAGACCCCGAAGACCACGAGTGTGACTTTTTTTTGAAGACCATCAGAGGGTTAAAAAGTAATAAAAAAATGGCTTCCAGGCAGTTGTATCTAAAAACGAAAAATGTAAAATGATGCGTCTGTGCCAAAGTAAAATTCAAACATATTATAGGCCTATATATTTTCTGATCATTTATTAACAGGTGTTTTTAAAGGGACATAAGTTGTCTAAAAAAAAATGTCACAATGCCCATAAATTAGTATCATAAGTATTTTAAATGTTGTTAATTTAACAGGGTGGATGTTTTGGATGTTTTTCATCATCAACCATTTCATTGATTTTATTATAAATGGTTAAATTTATGTACCCAAGCTTGACCAAAATAACTTTTCAAATGTTTTACATCACCGTATCATGATTACACAAAAAAATATTTTTGAAACAGTTTGATTTTTCACATTTTATCATGTCCAAAAGGCACCGAATACCAGGACTGACCCAAACACTGTGTGTTTTGTTTCAATGTTCACTATCACGGATGAGAAGCAGCAGAGGGAAGTAGATGAACTGGGATGTGTACCGTCCACACATCTTTATGGCCCCTAGAATACATTGGTTCACTGAGCCAACGTGGGTTTGAGAGTCTTGTAAGGTATTTCACATTGAGTTCAGTCAAGCAGGCCGCAGTCTCCAGCTCTCTCATCTCTTCACAGGGAACATCCTCAGGACAACGCCATGTCTCCCCAACGTCAACCAGACCTGCACATATACAATGGTTAATATAGACACACAAACCCAAAAGTCACTTAATTCATATGCAAATAATAATGATGTGGTTGCTAGGGTGTGGCTAGAGCAGGGTATATTACTTACAGAATGCTTGCTTGAAGCATTAAAAAGTACTTTAATATTTATTATTCACCTGCTATAACACCACGTCCAAACCTGTCTCCAGACAGCAGAAGTTCCTCCGTTTGCTGGGTTGTCATTCCCAGCCTTTCAGTGAGGATGAGTCTCCAGTCCTCGTCCTCCCAGTCCTTCTGAGCGATGTGAACGGCTAGAGTGCAGTTCCGCATCTCTGACAGCAGGGGCCGCCAGCGGCTCTCTATTGTTTTCACGCCATTCAACACAAGGGTAGCGTACGGCTGGCGAAATGACAAGCAAGCCACCTCTAAACTCATTCTGAGAATACGCTATTTAACTCTTTATCTACAAATAACACGTTTAGGTAAGTCGTAAGTACAGCACATTCCCACTAGAGGTACTTTATTAAATAGACTCAAGGATAAGATTTGATGGACGACTGGATAAAGCGCTTCCTGTTTTTAAAATGTGCCTAAAAAAAAAGACGAGACACTGTTATAAAATGACAAACCCATGAAAGAAACAGCGCCCACTAGTGCTAGGACTTAAAGGGATAGTTCAACCAAAAAAGAAAATTCTGTCATTATTTACTCACGCGCTCATGTTGTTCCAAACCTGTACGAGTTTCTTTCTGTTTCACACAAAAAATATATATTTTTAAGAATGTTGGCGATCAAACAGTTGACAGTAGCCAGTGGCTTCCACTGTTTTTTTCCTACTATGGAAGTCAATGGCTACAACTGTTTGATTACCAACATCCTTTAAAATATCTTCTTTTGTTTTCAACAGAAGAAAGAAACTCATACAGGTTTGGAACAACACAAGGGTGAGTAATGACACATTTTTCATTTTTGGTTGAACTATCCAACTGAACTAACATGAAGCAAAACAAATATATAGTGCAGTGCAAGTCACAAGAATACAACAACAGTAAATAAAGTATTCATTAATTTATCCTTGTTGGTTACTTTTATTTAATGTATTTCACAATTTGGGGTTCTGGTGGATTTTCCATGGCTTTCAAGTTTTACAAAATTCTATCAATACAACTGATTTACTGGCCAATGAAAGATGATTCTGAACCACAGCACCAAAACATGTAGAAATTATTTGGGAGTTTTCCCAAAACAAGGAAAACACCAAACTGTCTAACATTAAATAGAACATCTCATTCGTTTAGTCAGTGACCCATAACAGCTTGTTCCACAAGTTATTTCAAAACTAGTGTAGGTCTACAGGTCACTTTCTCCCATGGTTGAACCTCGTGCCTCCAAATCAGCTCCAATTCCCGAGTCTGTTCCTCAAAGGCTCCGGAGAACTGTGCGTGCATCACTCCATCATGTCTTCCTCTGTTCTTGGAGCTTTCTGGGGTGATGACATGACCCTTTTAGTGGAGAACTATCGACCTTTGTAGTGTTTCCAGCTTTTGCTGAACATTCTCAGTGTCTCAGTCCCATCAGTAGGTGCTTTCATGCCCCGTGAGTATGTACAGGTTGCTCATGGCAGACGGATCATCCGTCGGAGTACTTTGCAAGATAATATCCCTGTGGTAACATTATATTATTAGTAAATGATTACATTTTTTCTATTACCAAAACATGTTGCTCAACCACAGTGTGAAAACATACCTAGTTGTTCCCAAAACCTGAAAAACTCGACTTCTGTCTGTGATCTCCTGGGTAACCTGAGATAAAAAGCATAATATTTCCTTCCTTTCTCATACATCAGTGAATCCATCATTGTTATAGATGTCAGGTTCACCTCATTAGTTTGTAAACTCCTTCCTTTCAGACCATGTTTCCAGAAGGCAAGGACACTGTCCTGTAGGCAAACTTCAAAGACAGCCACATTACCACCAGATGCAACAGAAGGAGGTAAACATGATGGCTACAGTCTGACAGGACTTACCCAGCGTCTGAATGGAAAACTCAAAAGCAAGCTCAGAGGTCTTCTGATGGCTCGGACATGCCTGCAGATTCACGACCTTCACTGTGTCTGAAACAGAATGGTCTGTTAATGGATTTGCTTCATTGGTTTGTAGGGGTGTAACAATACATCGTGTCACAATATATATCGCAATACAAAAATGCAACAATATGTATCGTGGATGATGACAATATGTATTGTGTATACTGTAGTTTAACCAAAATAAAAATTACTGTGCGAGAAAAAATTTCAAGTTTTCAGAGTTTTAGTGTCAGTACTACATTAAACTGCTATAATGTTGAATATAATGTATAATAATGCAATCTGGGAATATTTGTGGGTCCTGATAATGCCAAATGTCTTATGTTACCAGTAAAAAGTGGCCTACATTATTTTAAATATATCTAATGAGTGACAGAGTGCAAGCGTATTCGTCTAAAATAATTCTGTATTTTCAGCTTCAGAATCATGAATATTTTTATTCTGGTGTCACTATTGTCCATGCCTATTCATTTACCCCCACCATATAATATCAAATGTAACATTTTAATCAACCTTTTACTATATGTCTTGGAGTATCGCAATAATATCGTATCGTGAGTTCAGTATCGTGACATGAGGGTATCGTTACACCCCGTATTGGTTTGTAAAAACACAACAATCGTATTGACAATAATGCACCTATAATGGAAGTCTATGGGGCAAGACACTGCACTGAAATAAATGAGGAATTTCTGAGTTTAAATGAATTTAGATATTTGTGTGTGTGTGTGTGTGTGTGTGAGGGGTTATTTGTTAGAGGCCATTACTTTCCAGTGCGATGAGAACCGTGTCCCTGTCGAGTTGAATCACTTGCTTGACCTCCAGAGACTCACCATCTGCGAAGTCACATAACCTCCAGTCAAACATAAAAACACACTACCAATCAGTCAATGTCATTGTGGCAATGTAAATCATGTAGCTTATTGGAACGATTCTTTATATAAATAGTTTTTGTTGTTAAACAAACATGCAGTACAGTGACTTCACAGTATTTCGTGTGATTTTTGAAGTATCCACACCTGGCAGACTTTGTGGAGTGTCATCTAGGTGGATGATGTCAAAATGCATGTGTCCAGTGGTGTCTCTTTGGCTGGGACGGTTTCTCACCCCTACACAGACCTGTGGCAGCTCTTCCGTTTCCTGTACGAGCAGCTCGAAGATGGGCAGGGACTCTGGCAGACCGAGAGCAATGTGCTGAGAGAAAGAGAGAGACAGGAAAGTTATGCAACAGCGTAGATATTTTTACCAACCATCGCTCTTATCTTTCATTTCTCACCTTGAGCTGCATGAACTTCTGCAGAGGTTCATACCACATTAAAAGGATTAAACCAGATGGCACAGCGGCACACAGAAAGACGCTGTCAGTGTAGGGGTTTCGTACTAGAAGCAGAGAAATAAACATTAAGATGTGCATGAAATGCCCAGAGAATGATTCACACACTCCCACAGAGGTCACTGGTCCTCACCCACGCTGCATCTTCTACAGCCCTTGGTGTCTGGGATCTTTACTGACATGGCGTACTTCCTGGAGAAAAAAAAAAAGAGAATTACTGCCTATATGAATAAAGTCTGAGAAAACGGAGAACGGCTAGCTCAATGGCACAATGACAATAGTTAGGGGTAAGGAGTTCCATGGGCAACTTGATTCTTTTTTATTCTTAATAAATGTTCGCTAAAATTGACATTTTCATTATTTTATTTACTTATTTCTTAAATGCATAATACATGTTATTTGAAATAATACACATTTTATTTGAAATAAATGAAACTATATGCAAGTTCAAAAGTCAATGTTCAAAAAAGACGCATTAAATTGATCAGTAAAGACATTTATAATGTTACAAAATATTTGTATTTCAAATCAATGGTGTTCGTTTGAACTTTCATTTCCCTCAAAGAACCTTGAAAACGAAGTAAAATGGTTTCCCAAAAAAATAATAAGCAGCACAACCGTTTTCAACATTGATAATAATAAGAAAGGTTTTCAAGGATCACGTGATTGATAATATTTCACAATATTACTGTTTTACTGTATTTTTGATCAAATAAATGCAGCCTGGGTGAGCAGAAGAGACGTCTTTCAAAAAGGTTTTGTTTTATTTCACTAACCCCAAAACTTCAAACTTTTGAACAGTACACACACCACACACACACACACACTTTTGAACGTTCATGCAGCTATATACTTTTGTATATGTATATATATATATATATATATATATATACACACTACCGTTCAAAAGTTTGGGGTCGGTACGATTTTAAATACTTTTAAAAGAATTCTCTTCTGCTAACCATGGCTGCGCTTATTTGATTAAAAATACAACAAAAATCAGTTATAGTATTAAATATTATTCCAGTGTAAATCAGCTGTTTTCTGTGTGAATATATAGTAAAGTGTAATTTATTCCTGTGATCAAAGCTGAATTTTCAGCATCACCAGTGTCAGTGTCTTCAGTGTCAAATGATCCTTCACAAATCAGTATAATATGAGGATTTGATGCTCAAGAAACATTTATTATTATTATCAATGTTGAAACAGTTGTTGGTCTGTCAGTTGTACAGTTTTTTTTTTTTTTTTAGGATTCTTTGATGAATAGGAAGTTCAAAAGACTTTTGTAACATTATAAATGTCTTTACTGTCACTTTCGATCAAATTAATTATTCCTTGATAAATAAAAGTATTGATTTCTTTCCTCCAAAAAATAAAAATAAAATTCTCACTGACCCCAAACTTTTGAACGGTAGTGTATATGTGTGTATACACACACACACACACACTACGGTATATAAAATTTCATGTTGGGGTGATGTGTAACGGCTTTAACCTATTAAGTAAACAATTAAAACTTATATACACACACACACACACACACACACACATTTGGACTAAAATCTAAAAAAAAAAATGTTTATAATTATGTAAAAAAAACAAACAGTTATTATATTATTTAAATCTTATTGTAAGACCAGACCAACTGAAGGAAGAAGTTTAAACATTACATCTGTAAAATTAGTATTTTAGGTTTTTAGTTTTGACCCAGTGTGTCTCTTTCGACCAATAATTGTGCATCGTAATAACTCATATAACCTCATGAATGAACATCATACGGTCTTAAGCATTCCACATAGATTGACCGAACTGAGACAAACCTTGCGATTATCCTTGTGCTCAAGCGGTGTGCGTTAATGGCCAGATGTCCCTGTCTACGCTGCATATTTCTGCGGTACTCAAAAAGTGCAGGCAGACTATGAGAAGTCAACTGTGAGGACTTTCCTGTGGACAGAGGAGAGCAGGGAACCAGACAGACAATTCATGAAGACATCAGATCTTTATGGTAGATTGAATAAGGTCGTATTAATAACGCTGGACACACCTGAGACGGACATAAGAACGTTGTTCATCACGTACAACCAACTGCACCTCTGAGGAAGCAACTGGAAAAGAAACTAAACATTTCACACTTTTTCATGGGATATTTGCTCTAGTAA